AACGTTATTAATTTTTTACTAGTCAACGAAGACAGACTTTTTTCTACATACGTTTTCGTATCTTTTTCTAGAACGACAAGCAACTCCATAAACGTAGTACTATTACACCGCTTTAACGTATTAAATTTTTACTTGCAAGAAAGACAGACTTTTTTCTACATAGGTTTCTATCTTTTTCAGAACGACAAGACAACTACCATAAAACGTAGTACTATACCACGCTTTAAGTATTAAATTTTTCTGCAATAAAGCAGCTTTTTTCACATGGTTTTCATCTTTTTCAGAACGACAAGACAACTCCATAAAATACAGTACTATATCACGCTTTATGTATTTTGTCTCGCCTATAAATAATGGGCTCATTGTAGTTATTTTGTGTTCTCAAAAATTACAAAAAGTAAATATTTCTTTAAAAGTAAGGTTTTTTTTACTAAAAGCAAATATTTCATTAAATGGCTCAACCTCTTCGTCCACCAAAGTGCAACTGTGGAAAAGAATGCTCGATGCAAAATTGTTGGGACGATGGTGAAGTTGGACGCTGCTACTGGCACTGTATGAACCAGTTTTACAAGGTTCCCGGTGAACCTATTTGTGATTTTGAGGAATGGGTTGATGAACCATGTTATCAGGAATGCTACAGAGAACAACTGCAGTATCTTCATAATGTGTGTTTAGGCCAACGGGAACAAGAAAGAGAAAGCAATAGAATTATTGCAGACATGAGGGCGAAACTGAAGGAGGTGGGAGAAGAAAAATGGAAAGCACAACGGAATTGTGAAGCACAAAAGGAACGTAAAAAAAATATAAACGGGAACTTGCGGAGGTGAATGCGAAACTGAAAGAGGTAGAAGAAGAAAAAGAACANTGCGAGCATATGCCACATTTACGCGCATAAACGGTGTCACCAACATCCATTTGGTTCCGTATACGCGTTCTCTTTTGCACTTGCAGCTTGCGCAAATAGTCCTTGTTACATACCATCTTAAAAGGTTCCGGCGGCCAATAATGCTCAGCACCTAATGGCTGCAACTTCCCACTATACGTGTCTACATATGCAGCAACACTGTATTGCCTATCAATATAGTTTGTTGCCCCATATCCAACTTGTTGAAAGCACTTCAACACATGTGCGCACAGCATGTGATAGAATTTTGGGGTGCAGAACTTTTTTTTATGTAAAACGCAGTACAATACCACGTTTTATGTATTTGAATTATTGTTATGTCAGTTAATTATTGGTGGGCCCAAAAATCAGAGTGAAATGCAGTACTATACTGCGTTTAAATAATTCGCAGTATTGTACTGCGAATTTCTTAAAAAAATAATTTTTTAATAATACGCAGTACTATACTGCGAATTACTTTAACGGCTAAATTTTTGTTAAAGTAATTCGCAGTATAGCATTACGTTTTAGGTATTTATGATAACTTTTTTTTTAGTAGTAAAAACTTGTGCGAAAAAAAGGCATTTGAAAACATTGATGCTAGTACAAGTAAAGACCGAGTAATGAAGGATAATTGAGTCAAAATTGAGTGATTGATTGTGTAATGATTGACTCATATCATTCATTGTATAAGACCTCAACCCACGATATTGACGTGGCATGACCCATTGAAGTGGTGCAGTATGTGACGCATTCGACTGATTCCTATCGGACATTGGCTGATCATATTATTGATATTTTTTGGCATGAATTTTAAGAAAAAAGAAAGACTTTTGAACTTAGGTAAAATGAGTTATATATATTATGTGCAACTATAAATATGTTATTGCATAAATATAAATTATTTTCAAAATATAAATAATGGGTCATTTTTTTGCATGAACTATAAAGAAAATAGTTTCATACAAATTAAGATGAATGGAATAGCATTTATTCATAGATTACTTGTTCCCCTAGCCGAAGAAAAAATATTATTCTGATGTGTAAGAATTAAATTGCAAAAAAACAACAATTGTGTATGCCTTTATAACATAAGCAGAAAGAGTAGAACTCTTGGATTAGTACTATATTGTTTGGTTTTGGTACAAAATATTTTCATGAATCAATATTTTCTCCACATAATTAGTACTACATCTAGTGTTTGGCTTTCAATGTTAATTTTGCATAAGTTATGCGGATTTTAGTATCGATAACCAAACACTGTATTATTAATTTCGGACTACAAAAACCCTTAATAAGACAATCCTATTTACCACATAACAATCTTTGTATTATTATTCTCATTGTATCACTATATTAGTATTAACCCACATATTTATTTGTACAGTCTGCCATAGGAGAATGGTAATTGGAGGGCCAAAACCTTGTGCATATTTCATAAAATTTGCTCATAAGATTCCTGAAGAGTTAAGGGGCAAGATTAAGAGGGTGTTTGGCTAAGCTTATAAGCTGGTCAAACTGGCTTATAAGCATTTTTTTGCTTATCTACGCGTTTGGTAAAATTAAAAGTGCTTATAAGCCAAAAATAAGCCAAAAGTCATAAGTTGGTCTCCCCCAACTTATCAAATTTCAGCTTATAAGCACTTTAAGTTTGATCAAAATATTTACGATTCTATCCCTAAAATACTTCTTTTTAAAACAAAACTCTTCGTATACTCAGTTTTCAGCTGCATATTATTAATTTCAGCACTTTTATCCAAACACGTAAGTGCTTATTTTTTAAATCAGTTTCAGCACTTAAAAGTGCTTTTCAGCACCTAATGCTTATCAGCTACCCTAAATCAGCTAAGCCAAACGGGCTCTAAATATCAAATTTCAGTGGCTTCTGGGTTTAAAACTTTTCGGGACAAGAAGGTTACTGGTGCATTTAATCAATATTCTCTCCTCATTATTCTAATTACCCCATATTTTCAATTTATTTTCGTCACTACATCTGAATGTCTAATTAAGCTAGCTAGCTTGTTGTCGTATGCAAGATATATATATATATATTTGGTTGTTGGCATTTGGCAGGACTAAAAAAGTAAAGGGAGAAGTAAATATGTGGACGACAAAATGCAAAAATAATGATAAAGAGATTCCCCCTTACAATGCATTCACGTGATCATATGCTGCAAACATATCCCTTTTGTTCTACAAGTTATGTTGCTTCAATAATTTACTTGCAGCTTGAAATAAGAGATACTCCCTTTGTTTCAATTTAAATAACAAATTTTTTTAATTAATTCGTTCTAAAAAGAATGATATATTTTTATATTTGGAAATAATTTAATTTTAAATTCTTCATTTTACCTTTAATAAAAAGATTTTATAACCACATAAATGTCATGACCCTATATAGCTTTTACCCCTTAAACTTTTAACATTACAAATTTCAAAAAGTTCATCTAAATTAAAACGGAGGGAGTACATGATTCTACACTAAACAAGTGGATACTTCATAAAGTAAAAATCAAATCATCTCCCATAAGTAACTTGGACCTTGTTCTGCACTAACAGAGAAAGTCTCTAACATTTTGCAATATAGTTTTCCTAGTCAGTTCTAGCCTCCTTTTCCTTAGAAATAATGGATTATCATTTTTCTTCCCATTTTCAAGCTCTTATAGGGCTTTTAGCCTTTGTATTCTTGTCTATTATCTTATGGAGAAGAACACTTACATCAAGAAAATTAGCCCCTGAAATCCCTGGGGCATGGCCTATTATAGGCCATCTTCGTCAACTGAGTGGTACTACTGATAAGAATATCCCATTTCCCCGAGTATTGGGCGCTTTGGCCGATAAATATGGGCCTGTCTTCACACTGAAAATAGGGATGTATCCCTATTTGATTGTCAACAATTGGGAAGCAGCTAAGGATTGTCTCACAACGCATGATAAGGATTTCGCCGCCCGACCAACTTCTATGGCTGGTGAAAGCATCGGGTACAAGTATGCGAGGTTTACTTATGCTAATTTTGGTCCTTATTATAATCAAGTGCGCAAATTAGCCCTACAACAAGTACTCTCGAGTACTAAACTCGAGAAAATGAAACACATACGTGTTTCTGAATTGGAAACTAGCATCAAAGAATTATATTCGTTGACGCTAGTGAAAAGCAACATACAAAAGGTGAATATAAGTAAATGGTTTGAGCAATTGACTTTAAACATAGTCGTGAAGACTATTTGTGGCAAGAGATATTGCAACATAGAGGAGGATGAAGAGGCACAACGTTTCAGGAAAGCATTTAAGGGCATCATGTATGTTGTAGGGCAAATTGTTTTATATGATGCAATTCCATTCCCATTGTTTAAATACTTTGATTTCCAAGGTCATATAAAATTGATGAAGAAAATCTACAAAGACTTAGATTCTATTCTTCAAGGATGGTTGGATGACCATATGATGAAGAAGGACGTAAACAATGAGGATCAAGATGCCATGGATGCCATGCTTAAGGTGACACAACTTAATGAATTCAAAGCCTATGGTTTTTCTCAGGCCACCGTGATCAAGTCAACAGTCTTGGTAAGTTTATGTCGTCATTGCTGTTTAGTTTTGTACATTCTCTATTTCAATTTATATGAACTTATTACACTTGCACGAGGTTTAAGAAAAGAAGGAAGAATTTTAAAACTAGTAAATTTAAACATGTCATAGCATTTGTTTTGCTATAACTTTGAAACTTGTAGTTTTAAATATCTTGTATGGAAAAGGTCCAAAAATTGACTCTTTAGTATCCACCTAGAGTCACTTTCACTCTCCGTTAATAGTTGGACATGTTTTTCCCCTCCAAACGTCCCGCAGATCTGCCATTATTTTCAAATTCAGATAACATGATGGTGTAAGGGTTAAACGGTTCACATGATGGTTATGTTAATGGAATCAGTGGGGCTTTTAATAGAGAGATACATAGATAGTAAAAATGAATTTGTGTGCTCCATATATGTGTTGTGTGTACTAATGGAGGAGAGCAATCGGTCGTTGGTGTGTTCTAATCCCTGTGAGAGTGAGTGCTATCAATTCTAGTGGTTTATGTGGGCGTATGACTGAAAAGAGGTAGAAGAAGAGAGTTGTGGTGGAGTAATTGTGAAGGAAGCTGATTTCACGATGGTGCTATGATGGAGATTGGTACGGTTGAAATGTAGGGTAAGACTGCATACGATAAATTTTTGTGATACGGTTCTTCCCTAAATCTTGCACAGAACGGGAGTTTAGTGCACGAGGCTATAATGGAAACTAGTGGTTATAATGAGTGGCCTTATAGGGTAGAAAAAGGTAGATGGCGACAGACTGATTTTTGTGAGATGAATAAGTGATGTTTTCTGAGTGAATAAGTGCTAGGTGCTCGTGTATCCATAACAACATTTTAATGAATGAGTGCTTTGTGTACTAGGTGAAGAATGGGCGAAAATATGAATTAGAATTATCATGAAGAAAACTTCAAAGGGCAAAACTTGCCCCTCAACTATACGAGGAGAACACTTTTTCCCTTTTCCATAACAATTTTTGGATTTTTCCTTCTGTTTTAGATTTCGTTAGCTGGATTTGAAAATATAAGGACAAATATGTGATACTTTTGTAACGGCAGAGGCAAAAAAAATGGAAAACTATTAACGAGTGATGAAAGTGCCCCTAGGTGGACAGTATATGGAAATTTGGCTTTGTTCTGCATCTTATAAAATGTGTGGTTATAAAAGATTGTTATTAAGGGTAAAAATAATAGTTTAAGTTAATTTGCTTTCAAATTTTATAAAGAGTTCGTTCTTTTAGAATAGACTATAAGAGAAATTTGGTTGTATAAACTATAAAAGGAGTACCCATTTGATACACATTTAGGAATATTGCCAAAGACTACCTGTCGAAATAACTACGACTTTTATTGTGGTTACAATTTTTGCGTATCCTAAATGCATAAACTGATGACGCAATACCATATTTTCCACCCCATTTTGGGATTCGGTGTAATTACATTTGTTTTCAATCTGTAACAAAATTAAATAATGTATGCAGAGTTTGATCTTAGATGGCAATGACACAACCGCTGTTCATTTGATATGGGTAATGTCCTTATTACTGAACAATCCACATGTTATGAATAATATACTAACCTATTTTGTGATACTCTATCATTATACGCATTGTTTTTGGCATCACTTAGTTCTTGCCCTATTTTTGGCAAGAGCTACCTCTCAATAACGGGCCAATTTACTTTGATTCTGTGAAGATCTGGACGATCTTTCATCTCTATACATGTTATATTGAACGGTCCTTGCATTTTTGGTCCGATTCAAGGTGTCAGTCTCAACTAGGGTTTGAGATTTTCCCTTCTTCGTTACCGATTTCTGATTGATACTCTTCCCTTTCTTGTGTTTGACTTATATTTTTCTTATTTTTGTTTAACCCGTTGTATTTTCCCTATTTTTCGATTTTGTTTACCTTAAAACGAACTCTAATTGATTTTCATATGCTTTTTCCTTATTCTCTGTTGAACCTGTTGTATT